ATATTATATATGTATGTATGTATGTATGTATATACAATTATATGTATGAATTAAAGAAATATCACACCTAACAATGAGGTTGATTGGGTTAGTGTTGTGACACAATGCCCGTCGGACCTCATGAACTTTGAACGAAATATTCTTTCGATGAAGTGCTGCGTGGATCAATGTGATCGGAAAACGATAACAATTAGATAATTTCATATTGTTGGTCACGTAATAAAGGGGAAGGTTTCAATCGTCTGCACTTAGCTCGCAGAAGCTGATCTGGACAGGCAGTATTTTGATGGTGAGCCACCGGGTCTTGCACGTCGCTGTGTTTGTTTTAGTCATCATAACACGGGAATGGGATGGAACAAGTTTATGGCCTGAACTTCCCGTAATAATCTACAACTGCGGTTACAAAAGGCATGGACGTTTAAAACAGGGAGAGTTTGAAAATATTCAGTTGCAGTAGGTGTTAAAGGATGTCAGACGTCGTAGAGGATCACAGGAGGTCTAGCGACATAAGAAAAGATGCAGGCGACAAAACATTATCAACCAAAGAACGTTTCTACTCTGGAGCAATTTTCCTAATTTTTATTATATGTTTCTTGGGATTTTGGAAACGTTACGCAATTGCTGTAGGTGTAGCTTTAGGACTTCTTCTAATATTATTTCATTTCATCTTTCAAAAATACACTAAAACTGACGACGTAGAGGCGGATATAGGCGTAATAGATACGACGACGGATGTTTGTCACACGGATGAAAAAGAAGATATTATCGGTATTGTATGTGTAGGCAATGAACGAATACTTACGACTTTAGGAACAAGGGACGCGTCGTCTGTACATAGATCAGGTCTGCCTTCTGTTACAGACGTGGAAATCGCTAGTCACTATTTTCACAGATTGGATTCTATAACCGAAGTGCTGCAGGAATCTCAAGTAGACGAAGGCATTGGCAACGACGCATATGAAATGTAAGTTATAACCCGGTTAACGTTTGATTTTATTTGTTGACCACCAAAATATAATACAGATAGGTTTAATCACCAACAACAATAATAACATCAAAGTAGGCCTACATCAGTGATTAGATCACTATAAACGAATCTCTCATAAGAATTGTTTTGCTCTATTCGTTATTTATATAAAATAAATATAGGTCTAGTTAAATCAATTAGGCAATGGCTAATTAGGTCAATTTCGGTTTCCACATATGACTCGTTAATGTATAGTGACCTGGGAATGACCATGTCGGCCAGAGGCTATTTTGAATTTTATATAAGTTTTAACTGAAAGACAGTGAACTTTGTTCCAATTTAAATATGTATTCAACGTTCACAAATCAATAATGGTTTAAGTTGTGGGAAGTATAGTATGACACAGAGGTCTATTATAACTGTATGATGTCCTCTATGCCTGTCTCTCTATGATTACGGCCGCCTGTAAGGCCAATAACTTACAGTGTTACTTATCCGTAGAAATGCATCCGTTTTGTATTTATTTTAGGCATATCTTTTTGAGTGAAGTCAAATAGGCCTATAAATGAATAACAAAATAAAAACTTCGGATTATAATAATAGTAATGATGATGATTATGAAGACGATGATGGTGATTATGTTATTAGGCTTATTAACATAATAATGCTGTTGGGAAGGTTTCAATTGGTTTTGCCGTGCCACTTTAGCGTTTAGTGTATTATGCGTATAGGCCTGACTGTATGTGCATTGTGCCCCAAACTGTATATCTACATATGTATATTTTTAAGAAACCTGCTTATAACGCTGTCGAATTAAATTCTTAATCGAAACTCAAACTTAATTGAATTAGGTTGTGTCTATCGGGACGTGATTCAGAAAAGGGAAGTCGCATTATTCATTATACGTAAACATGGGTTCTAGTAACCTCCATCGTATCCTATTGTCGGCATATAGCAGTTTCATACTTTCCTCTCATAAATAACACACTTATGCAATATTTTTTTTTTTTTTAATGAAAAGAACAGGCGCGGATGAGAGTTATTGATGCTCGTAAATTGTTTCAGGGGAGAAGACGCAAGTGGGAATCGAACCCAATGGGACGGGGGATTCATTTACATAATGTGTGGATGTAGTGAGATATGACCCCCTGGAATCTTAAGATATTTTGGCCGCTGCCGGGTGGGGAGTGGGTGACGGCGCCCCTTTTGCCACCCTCTGTATCTACCACTGAGATGAATGTTCCGTATTAAAGATTGGTTAAGTTTATATGTATAATATATTATTTTATACTTGCAGTGACGTAGACGATGTCACCCATTCCGGTTCCAGTCCACCAAACTACACTGACGTCCGACACGTGATTTACACAGGATTACTGCAAACCCACTTTTTGTAGACTCACTACAATCAATATGGTTATATAGACTCAGTTATATTTATATAATATTAACAGGATAAGTCTTCCACTGGATTCCGTTTGTAAAAAAATGAACTCTGATAGCTAATGCAATAGGCATTTACCGAGATTATAATATCTTATTCAGTCCCACAGCTCTGTTGGTAGAGGAAATAGGCCTACACGTTTCTGGCTGGGGGTTAGTTTTCATATAAAACCCTAATTAAAACAACTTTAAAACTTAATTTACTATTTTGTGCATAGCCCTACATAGGCCTAAGATAGGAATATTTTTTGGTGTGAGTCACACCAAGAATACGGTAACTTACGAAGTCCGAAGACTTGTTTCCAGTGGGGTTCTTCTGGTGGTGAATCGGGCAGAACACCGAATCCCTACTCTTTCCCGAAGAGTACTGTACTGCATGCGTTCTTTAACGTGCACGGGTTTTAATCGTCTCACGCGAAAGACGGTGTTCTAACTTGTATTTCAGCCCTCCAGCTGAGACACAAGGAAAGAAGAGGTGGGAATTGCATAAGCTAATAACATTACATATTGCCTTACATTTTACCAAATCGATTCAAAATTTGGATTGACTAAATTTCATAATGATACAGTACTTTTTCCGTCCATTTGCACGAGTGCTGTTGTATGATCTCTGAACTGAAGAGGCTTATTGAATAAAAATCACCTTCGTTGAGATCGATGAAAACTTGAATTGCATTTGTATTACGGTCTTTATTATATCATACTAATCCTCCTACAAACTTCAGAATACTCTAATTTACTATAAGAAAAATAATGGACAAACAAAACTTGAACTGAAAATAATTTTTTCGGCATTTTATTACTGTAACGTCATCTTGACAGCGCCCTCTACCCATGCAATCTATTTACAAATTAGTTACGAATCACATTGTGATCGGCACAAGCTTACATCGTGAGCCACCATAAAACTGGCATTTGGCCAAGATAAAAATCCGCAGTACTATATACGTAAATAATTAAATATATTCAAAATTTACCACAACTTGTTCAAACGTCAATTTATGCAAAGAATCATCCAAGTTTCCCCTTCCCATTTTAAAGGGACCATACCATTTCGTACTAAAAATATAGGGGAATCATTTATAATGAAAACCACCAGACGAGATCAGCTGAGCTATAGAATTGTGACAGGGACAAAATGGCAAATCACTGAAAGTTATCAGCACGATAAATGCCGTGATCCAGATCTACTGCAGCCTACCGCTGTTTACGTCGTCGGTATGTGACGTCATTATATTCATTAAAATCGAAACGGTACAAATTGCATCTTTCAGTTTTTAAGAGGCCTACAAGTCTTCTCTCATTTAAGATACTTGTATAAGATATATTCTAGATATACTAATCATAAGATATACAACTATATTGAATTACAGACTTTGTTGCCCTCTCTCACTGACGCACTGAAATTCAACATTGGTTAGCAATTTACTTTGATACTAAATAAACCAAAGATTGTTCATGGTAACTTACAAAAATAAATACAAAATAACAAAATAAAATAATATGGTTTGTAACCATGAAGCTATAGCTCCGATTTTAACAATGACATAAAAACTCCCAATCTGGCTTTTGACTTACAGCACACACATACACACAGAATTAAGAAAAACGAAATATAAATATATACATACAGCCGGTTCAATAACGCATTTACACCAGAAATCGGGCCAATCTGGTAGATACATTTCGTCAGGGCTGTGTGTTACTTATACAAAATTACAGATAGCATATTATGAAGGGATATATGATTATGTTTCTACTACAGAACAAGCACATGATGAAAGCAACAGCAGGTAAATTAATATGCTCAGAATGCTGGGAACACAGTAAAAAAGATGAACACTTTTAAATGCATTAAAAAATAATCTGTATCAGCATTTGGCAGTGCTCTAGCATTGATACCTAATTTCACAATTTAAAGAAAATATAAAAGCAAAAGTAACCGAAATGTTGCGGAATTATCAATATTTGGTTGTGTTATGTTTAAATTATTGTTATTACGCACGATACGGTATCTTCAAACCAGAAAGTTATCTACTGTAAATAACTCCTTGTTCAAACTTATTCAAGATATTGCTTTCTAATACAAGTAGATGTTGCACACATTATAAACTTACTGTACTAAATACTTAGTACTTAATAATAATGATAATAACAATAATAATATTAATAATAATAATAAAAATAATAATAACAATAATAATAATTATAATAATTCAGGATTTAGAGTATTAAATGCAATAACCACTTCATACAGTACATTAGTACTTGGTAAATTATATTGCACTTGATAGGTGAGATAATCACATCATTATAATTTTACAGCTTTATGCCTGGCATAAGATGTCTATGCTTCAGATGCATCCATAGGCCAAAGACATACACAGACTTAATATATCTTTATAGGGCTAACACAACTAATATAAAATATACAAGTTGAACATATTTATATTTAGAAATAAGATATAAATTATGTGTAATTATAACACCATCAATGAGTTCTATGGAACATTATTCTCTGTGATGGAATTTGACATTCAAGTTATTTAGATTGATTGATTGAGCAGGCCAAAATACCATTGTAAGCCTAATGCATATTCATAACCTTAATTCAGCAATGCCAGTGGGAAAGGGGATGCCAAAAAAAGCTTCCCCTCCCACAGTTGGACAGCTTGACATAATTTGTTGGGGAAAACTGATCTTCCTATGTAGATTTTATAGATTGAGACTCTAAAATTGACATAAAATTCTTTGAAATCTCTAAATTGTCAGAGCTTCCAGGAATTTTCCCCCTGGAACCCATCTGGGGGTTGTGGGCTCTCCACATGGTCTCTCCCCCTTGCATTCTTATAGGCTAAGATACATGTAACACACATGTAAATAGCCCTAACACACACCTACATAGGCCAATGTAATGCTTACCATTGTCACTACTGATCAACACCTTAACTTTAAATACTAATCATCATTTTGAAAATGGTCTGATACATTAGGAATGATAAATCCACCTGCAGTATTTAGAGGTAATCCATTAGCTAAAAAATTTCATCTTAAAAGACTAAAATTAAGCATAAAATACCAAGAAATCGTACATCCAGAGTGTGCACCTACACACTTAAACAAAAATATTAGTACCTAAGTTTTTTAAAATGTTGTTTTTAATCAAACATTGAAATATTTGTCATAAAATGTTGTGTAGCTCATGATAAAAAAAATAAAGAATATGAATGCAATTAGCAATCAAGACACTTTACACTGATTTGGAAAACACCATAGTTAGAATATTTTTATTTAACCACATTAAAATATTGCTTTTTCATATAAAAAAATTAAAAGCTTTAGCTTTCAGCAAAATGAAATTGAGATCAAGAATCCATTAGAGAAGAGTAAGATGTTGCATTTTCAAACAATAGCCTTTCAGAGGAGAAAAAAAGTAAATAAAAACACACACCCATAAACACCCCACATAACACCCCCCTCCCACAATAAATGTACATCATATATAAAAAATTTTCCATAGTTATGGACACCAACAACTGCTAATGGCAGTAGGATATGGAAGCACTACACATCAGTGGTTGGGTGAATCACTCAATTCCATTTTTAATATTAAATTGCCAGTCGTGATGCCAGTTGAAGGATGTGCTTAGTTAGCATTACTTTTTAAAGCTGGGGTTTCGGTGATTAGTGGTACTTCATTTATTTTCAAAAAAGGTATCATGATTTAAACTATAAATACAGTTTGTAACTTTCATTGTTGTGGTTGTTGATATGATATGATTTTATCTGATGATTATCTGCAGCTGGTGTAGGACTGGCTAGATTGTTTACCAACTTGATATACCAAAAGGGCACTATGGTCAAAATATATCCGTACCACAATCAGTGAGAGTGTCTTATGTAAATAATAAAGTTTACAGTATATAAAGAAAGTAATTCCAACTGGTACAGAATTTTACTTAATGTTTTCTGTCCACTAAACATGATAAACTAGAATGTATGCAAGTAAGAATTTATTCTGATGGAAGATTCTTGTTCAATATGGTTTTAGATCAAGTCAACGATTTTTAAATAAATGAGCAATGTACGACTTGGGATATGTCTACACCTACAATCACTATACACACACTGCTCTAGGTAAAAACCAGGTCACAAAACCTCTCTAATTTATTGAACAATTGATTTTCCCCAATTTGATGCGGAGATAATTAATTTTACTGAGTACATGCCCTGTCTACTTGATGGATTAATGCTTGAGAATTAATTAAAACCAATTGTTATTACACATATGCAAATTGTTTTCAAAGAAAATTACATAATTTTACAAACCAATATTTTCCCTACCCAGACATCTGTTTGGGTACCAATGATCTTTGCATAGTGTACAGCATTTCAAATTAAGATTATTGCTATAATATTGTGCCGCTCCTTCTGAAAATTCCAGATTTGGTATTGTTCGTTAGCAGCGACAATCCTGGTTGCATGCCCGGTAAATTATCGCACTCTGAGTCTGGGTTTCCCGCTTCTGGAGGCTTGCTTTTCTGTGGGCTGGACTGAACGCTTGTGGTCATCATAACAGATGACCTCTGGCTAAAGGTGGACATAGTTGTTCCTGTTGACGTATGCATTCTGCCTCCAAATCCACCAAAGCTCCGGAGTTTTGACATGAATCCGATCCCCGCAGATTGATGTGCAGTTGTCGTAGTGAAGGTGGATGTAGTTCCAACCTTTGATGTTGATGATGAAGCCCGTTTTGAGTATATTCCGCTCTTTACTCGATGCACTCGTGGCCCTGGTTTACCTGGGATATGTATAGGCGATGGGTTAGGGTTCTCTGCCAAGAAATTTAACCCAGTCTCTTTCTTTGGAGTAGAAGGTGGTTTAATTTTGGATGATAAAGAATGTGATTTAATGTTCGGCGGATTTATTTCGAGTTGATCAATTTTCGGATCACTGTTTCTGTGCTCAATCCTAGCACCTCGCTCTTGGAGTACCGATGCCAATCCGAGGGATTGGCTAAATGTAGAACTTGCTCTGCTACCAATAAAGCTACTTCTTTTTGGCATGCTAAATGAAATACTCGGTGTTGTTCCAATCGTACTGAAAGTTAAACAAATGTTTTCTTTTTAGAAATATTTTTTTCCTAAGGACAGATGGAGCAGTTAATGAAAAAGCAGTTTCAAAAACAAAAGTTACAAAATTAAAGTTTATATTGTATGGCGATGACAAAATCTGAAACATAATTGCATTAAAAACAATCTTATATGCATACAACAACGTTGATTTTTCGTTGTTTTCTGCACTAGGATGTGGTTTGGACCAAACCTATGTTGTGTAGAATGCATTACGGTCACAGATGAGTAAATACAGTACTTCCTAGTTACACATCATCGGACACATATCGGAAGCTCCCTAATGAAGAATGGTGGGAGCTGTACCAAGCAGTCCTTACCTTGGTGTGACAGTTGTGTTATCCAGCAGGTTGATATTGCTTGTTGTGTACGTGTAAGTTGGTTCAGAAAAAGTGTAGCACTTGCTGGGAATTGTCGAGTTTGCTGGAACAATTTAAATTTGGAGAGAAAAAAAAAACGAATTAAAGACTTTTTAATTATGCAAATCAGCAAAACCTTGTTGGAAGCTAATTATTCGATCCTTTTTAAACGAAATGTTTAAATTCAATTTTCTACGGTTTTAATTTCAATTATCAAACAATAATTAACAGTGATTAGCATAATTGCTGATATTTTTATATGCACCTTAATTTAGGAAAGGATCATATTCACTTATTATTTGTACTACTACCCTACTTTGAAATGATATTTAAAAACAGAGAATCAGGTATACAGTATAGCCAATGATTTGCAGAATGAGTACAAATGACATAAGAAACCAATTACTGTTTATAAATAAAAAATAAAAAAAAGGTGTGCCATATCCATATTGGAAAAAAACTGGATGGAAAGGAACAGTATCTATGAACGATGAAGGGAACTGCGAAGGACAAACAGCGGTTGACATGAAAAAATCCTACAGATAGAATACACTTGGTTGACAGAAAATTAAACTATCATATAACACATTGTTATTGGCTCACAACTGAAAGGTAAAAGAAGTACACGTTTTTCGATTGTACCATCAACGAAGGATAAGCATCATCATGGCAACCATTTCTGGTAGAGCACTATACAAATATTCAAATTAATATTATGATAGGTTGTATGGAGTTCAGCTGTAATTTTGTTATTTATTAAATGTTTTCTTTAGCATACAGCTGTGAGTGACTCACTGATAACAGGATGGAAGTGATGGCCAAAAAACTAAGTCTCATTATCAGGCTTAGTATGTGGAGTTATAGTGCACAAAAAAATCCTGACATTTTATTGGTTTAAATCCAGGACCTTGGGTTTGGAAAGCAAGCATATTTAAACATCGAGCTATGGTGCCACTGAAATAATATCTTATTATTCTCAGAACAAACATTATTTACATAATGTTTGAACAAATTGTTATGCACACATGAAGTATGAATATTTTAGTAATAAACCTCATTTAAACACACACACATAGGGATGGGTATTGTTTATTTTAATATGCAAGAAAAAAAGCAAATTCTTGGATCTTTATGCAGTGCTTGCTACCTAAATCCTTGCAGTAATGTACTTGCTATTCATTTGCAAGATGAAATGACCTATTAAGTGTATGATGTAGTAATAAAGCATTGGGCATGTAAACAAAAAGATGGGGTTTGAGTTTGAAGTTAACCTCTTGCTTGTGTCCTTGGGGGAAGTAAATTATTCAATATATCGCTTCTATTTTATTTATTTTCAGCATATTTATAGAGGATGACCCTTTCAGCATATCCTAGAAGGTCGGCTGATATTCAGGGGCCCTCTTAAATAAATGGAACAACATGATGCTTTTTTATATTATCAGAGAAGTCTGTTTATGAGGCTTAGGGAGTGGAATTGCTCTTAGTTGTGAGTAAAAGTACAGCTTTCACAGTAATTGAACACAGGACCATCGGATTAGAAGGCAAGCATCTTAACTGCTAAGTTATTCAACTCCACTCCACTCACCCAGATGATGGTATAGGGGGTCAGAGTACCTAGAAGGTTCTAATGTCAATGCAATGATTACTCTCTGCAACATTATGGAATAATCCACGGATAGCTGTGGATGTGCACCATAAGAGCTTGCTCCAATAACCAGGGGATAATAGAGTGAAGCACACGGAGGCATGTGTTTGATGAACTATAAAAGACAGGCATATAAATTTTTACTTACACACAACTTGTCCATCATCTTCAACATCATCAAGGGCAAACATCACTTTCTCTTGTTTGATTTCACGGAAGCCTTTGACCACAACACCAGGTCGTTGGTCAAGCATACTGGCCATGTGAGGTGTTGCCAATCTCTGCCATTGGTACAGAGTTAAAGATCCTATAAAAAAAAAAATATTAACATAATAAATTTTTAACAGTTTAATAGTGTACAAAAAGATATTGGAATAGAAGAGGAAAACTGGTAAGAGGGAAGGTATCAATTTATATTATAAATATTTTAAAACCTGTAAAAATACATAGAGAACTAACCTTCCATTGGTTTGACAATCTGCAATTTTTCTGGTCTTCTAAAACCGAGACCTACACCAGAAAAGCTGGAGATTGCGGAGAAGCTGTCCCCAGAGATTGCACTATCTGGTGTGTGACAACGTGGCGTTAACATTCCTTCACCGTCAGATTCAGATTCTATTACTGTTGTCTTGCGTCGTTCATATGCTGCATACTTACGCTCGGCATCCTTGTTCTGGCGCCGAAGTGAAAGACGTTTGATGGCAGTTTCAAGATCGTTGGAGCCAGGAATACTGGCCTCTCCTACCTCACTGCGATTTTTATACCTAAAACCAAGTGAAGAAAAAAATGTTTATATCCTAATTTATTACTCTATGTAAAATAGTGAAAGTATATGAGAAAAAATTAATGAAAATTGAAAGGAAGATAAAGTGGTAATTGAAGAAAGAAAACATAAATAATAAGATATTAACAAGTACAAGATATAGCAAGTAAAATAAACAAATAAAAAAAAGGGATAAACAAACAGAAGAAAAGTATACATACCGTACTGGAGTGACCCCTGTTACAGATTCATTATCGCCCATGTAATTTTCGCTGACTTCAGATCCAGCGAGCGAGATAACTGAGCTGCTTGGGGAAGATCGTGTACTTTGGTTCATCGGTGGTGTACCAAAGTCCAAGCCAGTGCCACTTCCAGCCCGACTCTTAACTGCTTTCACCGTCTTCATTACACTCTCATTGTACTCTCTGAAATATACAACATTCAATTCACTGTATTCAAAAACATACATATAATACATATACAAACCTTTATATGCGGGAGGAGTGGTGACTGACCCCCTGCCCCAACTTCCCCATAGCCTTTGACAGTCTGGTCCAATGCCATAAGAAAGAGAGATAGGCCTAGGAGCAAGGTTCCGATCTTTACCTACATTCACAAACTTTTACTTAAGGTATATTTTAAATATTCACTGAAATAAATTTCATTGATTCTGCAAGAGTCAACATTTTTGTAAAGCATTTATTTTAATTACTCATATTTTAGGACAAGATAATGCAATAAGTATAATGAAATGTAAGAGAAGAGGAATCAGACCAGGTTGGAAAAAATATCTATCAACCTCCACCAGAACCATTTTGATTACACAGTGATATATGTGTCGCCATTCTACATAAGTTATAGTAGATATCAAACAGAAGAAATTTAGTAGAACATAACCAAGAAGTATTATTAAAGGGAGTGTTGTAGGCAGACCAGATAAGAGGAATGCACTTAAACATACTTCTTTCCACGCCCCATTAGACGAGGGTCTTGCCCCAGCTGTTGCTCCACTGTGTTCACAAGTTCGGCTGCTAAAGAATCCTAAAACACAAAAAAATGTTATAAATGACCGCTGACTTAAAAATATTATAAATGAACTTTGACTTAAAAATGTTGTAAATGACCTCTGACTTAAAAATGTTATAAATGACCTCTGACTTAAAAATGTTATAAATGACCTCTGACTTAAAAATGTTATAAATTACCTCTGACTTAAAAATGTTATAAATGACCTTTGACTTAAAAATGTTATAAATGACCGCTGACTTACAAATGTTATAAATGACCTCTGACTTAAAAATGTTATAAATGACCTTTGACTTAAAAATGTTGTAAATGACCTCTGGCTTAAGAATATTATAAATGACCTTTGACTTAAAAATGTTGTAAATGACCTCTGACTTCAAAATGTTATAAATGACCTCTGACTTAAAAATATTATAAATGACCTTTGACTTAAAAATGTTATAAATTACCTGACTTAAAAATATTATAAATGACCTTTGACTTAAAAATGTTGTATATGACCTCTGACTTAAAAATGTTATAAATGTCCTCTGACTTAGAAGTTTCCATTCTTTCTTGTTATATAAAACAGAACTTTTATCATATACAGTATGTCATATAAATTGAAGAATAGTAAATATAATAAGACTTATGAAACAAACATTGACAGGTAATATAGATCTATAATAAACTGAAAATATTTGGTTAAAAATAAATTAGAGACATGGATTGAAAATCTTTAATACATTTTTATACCCTTGTTTATTTTTTTTGTTATATAAACATAGGCTAATTATCAAATGCACATTTTAAGTTGAATCTTATCATTATTATTATCATTATACCAGATAATCCAGTCAGTCAAAAATAGACAGCTTGTTCAAGCTGTAGATGAAGCCATCCATAAGTTCTTATGGTTCATTTAGCTTTCACCTAATGTCAACATTAGTATCATCCATTTTAAATAATGATGCACTGTTCATACAGTCAGCAATCTACTGTTCCAATTTGAACAGCCAGTTGAATTTAAGACTGAAGTCATTAAAGTGACAACTTAAGGTTACATGTAGGGTTGTGCAGCCAATTACTGTTTAGCATGTTGACCTCCCACATCCAAGGGTTAATGTGTCATATATCGTGCAGCATCAAAACACTTTACAGTGGTTGTTTTACAAAACCATGTCCTATTTATATGATGGCTCACATTTAATGAATTGTCACTTGAACTATATGATTGGCTATGATCATAAAAAATGTAGCCTCATTTAAACTGTCATTATAAAGTTTTAATGCGAGAAACTGTTTGTGGAAAAATGTGGTGCACTGGTTTTCTGACAAAATGTAAGGTTCAAGTTTAGTGTTGGTTAAATTACTTGTGTCCTTGTGTAAAATATATTTTGTTTGATTCTCTCAACCTAGGGGTGTAAATGTGTACCCGGGTAATAATTTGAAGCTGACAGACAATTTGTGGCAATATACACTATGCTATGTAACACCAACATATTATTATTATGAATGACAATTTGTTTTGCACAAACTGGAAATATTCTAGAAGGCAGCAATCTGGTATCCAAATTGTATAGTGATCTTTGGTATTATACACTGTATAAATTTGACTTAAAACACAACATTTAAGTATAATCTCATTATTATAGAACAATATTTTATAAGAAAGTAGCTTAAAAAAAACTCCCTTCAAGTGAAAAAGATAGCAGGATGTATGCTCACCGATGGAATTGGGAAGTACGGATTCATCACTCCAAAGTTGGGAACAGCACCTTGTGGTAATGAACGTCGGTGGATTTCCTTCGCTTCTTCTTGTGCTTCGAGTAGCATATGATGACATTCATCATATTTCTCCCTTAGCTCACTCAACTAAAAACAAAAATATAATATTCAATAATTTAATAACTTTAATAACTTATAATTAAACATGTTTATATGGTTTGGTTTCATGGTTCCTCACCAGCAAACAGCCTTAGTATTGAAAGGCATGTGGAATGCAATACAATATGTCAAAGAAATGATAATATTAATTTAAAACAATTATTTCAATTCATTTCATTTTTATTTCATATATTCAGTCCAAAAAATAAAACTGACAAACACAAAATAAGAGAGAAAAAACACTCGATTGGCCGAATAGGACTGCGAAAAAGTGAATTAAATCACTGTCTAGTGGCTCTCCGATGCCAATGAGAATATTATTTAGCATAAAATAGTCAAGTAAAGATATCATTACAATATATATATATATATATAGATTAAAAGGCAAAATACTGGAAAACAACAATGCTGTGGCTGGATCTCAGTAGAGATACAAAAATGATAAGCAACAGCTAAAAAGTAAACGTAAGTAAACAGCCAGAAATAGAACCAGAGCTTTCGGACAACACTAGTCCTTCCTCAGTGGCGAGTCATATATATATATACATAC